CAGTCTCTGGTGCCTCAGTAGATGGTCTCCGATACGTCTCAGAAGGATGTGGGCGAGAACCTTGCCTGGTACACTGAGCAGTGTGATGCCTCGGTGATTGCTGCAGTCCCAACGGTCCCCCTTCCCCTTCCAGAGAGGGATGACCACACCCCTCAACAGGTCAGGAGGAACGGAACCGGACTGCCAGATGGCAGCCAGGGCCCGGATTCACTAACGCACTTACGATGGTAAAATCAATGGTAACTATAGTTACCATGGTAAACAGACAGCGGTGGTATTCACTAACGACTTGCCATTGGAGTTACCATGGTAAATTTTACCAGTGGTCAGAGCACTGGTAACTTCTGGGAAGACGGTGTCATCACATGTTATCTCGTCATAAAAACAATATGTAAGCAAAGTTTTGGGTTTGTTTTTACACCTGATGTAACTAATATAATGGCAAACAGATATCACAGTGCGGAAATAGTGAAGAAATGCAAATTTCACATGAAACTAGCAAGAATAAAATACACACAAATTCTCGTGAACTTATAGGCCTACATTATACTAGAATGCATGGAACCGATAAATAAGTGAACTCTTAAAGAGTTCTTCTCTGACTTAATTATTACAAATGCTATAGAAAAAAACTACCTTGCTGATAAATAAACTGGCAATACCAACGCTCAATGAGTATAGCAATATCTGTATCTATCGACATTTTGACAATACACTCCAAAGTGCATGGGCAAGAATAAGCTTGAGATATTTCCTTTGACAACAAATGGCGATAGATAAAAAAAATGTTTGATCCGATTCTTTGTTTAACAATGATGGAAAATATATAAATAAAAATCGGTTTGGACTGTCTCTTTGGTTTGAGTTAACAATAATATATTGATATAACATTGTTTTTATTGGTTCCTATCTATAAAGTAAATATATATCTAACATGATGGATATAATCAAATAAATATATATTTTTTTCTACATGTGCTTAAATAGTGTTTTAGCTCTGACGATTATTTAAACAATCTCGCTGTGTCTAGTTTTGTTTACATGTTACGTGATTGGCCGAAGGAACCTAAAAGATTATGTATAGCGCTCGCTGATTGGTTGAATTGCTTTACTAGAGCCCTCTGTTGGCTACCATTAGAATGAGTCGATTTACGATTGTAACTCAGCATATCCAAATTACCATTTCTTCATGAATCCCGCTTTGCCATGACTGGTAAACGCAATGGTAAATGACCACTGGTAAATGCGTTACGATCGTATGTTAGTGAATCCGGCCCCAGGACAGCATGTAACCCCCGTGCCATAGGTTCACCACCAGCCTTTAACAGTTCAGCTGGTATGCCGCAGATACCAGCTGCTTTACCACTCTTCACCTTGGAAATCGCCCCCCTAACTTCAGTTAGGGAGGGAGGGTCCTCACTGATAGGTGGATCCGGCAGCGGGATCTCGACACTACCCGCATCCAAGTTAACTGTTGGTGGGTCAACCTGGTACAGCTGCTCAAAATACTCAGCCTAACGTCCCCGCACCGCAACAGTGTATATGTATATATATATATATATATATATATATATATATATATATATATATATATATATATATAGTGTGTGTGTGTGTGTGTGTGTATGTATACATTCTCTCTCTCTCTCTCTCTCTCTCTCTCTCTCTCTCTCTCTCTCTCTCTCTCTCTCTCTCTCTCTCTCTCTCTCTCTCTCTCTCTCTCTCTCTCTTTCCTATGGACTCACCTATTACTTGTAACTGTTATTGTTGTTATTGTAATATAGGAACCATAATTTATTTCGAATGGAATTGCTTGGTAAAAATATATTACATTAAAACATCCACGCATGATACCCCTCCCAATACCTAGCTCGTTGTCGTCGTGGGAGGGCTCAGGAGACGAGGACTGAGGCCCAGTGTAGGGGATCACCCTGTCTTGGGCCTCAACCCTTGCCTCTACTAATTTTGTTTGGTCCTCGATCTTTTCTTTCCTCTTCCGTATCTTCTTTATTCCCTTCTTCTATCTCATTCCTAAGGTGTGAGAGCCGTGCCTGGAAGGATGAAAGGTTGACTTTGTCACGACCGGCCACTGGGAGACATGGGCACGGTATTCCCTTGGTTAATTGTCTAACCCTTACCCTATATGGAGACCTCCTGTTTCTTTTCCCGTTTATTTAGGGTTATCATGGTCAATAATGAAGAATCTTTACCCTTACAAGGGTCATTAAGGCTTGCCCATTCATCAAATAGCCTATCTGAATTTGATTTTGATGGTTTTCAGACCCCTGCCCCTCCTTTTGATGGTTTTCAGACCCCTGCCCCTCCTTTTGATGGTTTTCAGACCCCTGCCCCTCCTTTGACCACGGCTCCGACCACTGATACCAATACCCCTTCTTCGACGCTTACAAACAACTCTATTCCAAAACATCCACCCAGGTTATTACTCAACCTCTAGAAAGCACCCCTTCCTCTTCCCCAACATTCTCCTCTTCATCTCCTGCTGCGGTCCTCTTCGATGTCTACCCGCTCTTCCCTTATTACTACTCTTCATCCGCATTGTCCTCCTCCCCGCAGAACTATTCCGAACCTCACCCCTCTCTTAATACTTGTATTGGAACTGTTTCTATTCCCCAAATGATTGTCCCCTCTACAACAGGGACTGGTCAGACTGAAAATGACCTACTTTCCTGCCTTGCAGAATGTGATACAGTGGCAATACAGTGTTACACTCTTCCTCCCAGAGACCAACGTAAATCCCGTCAATATTGCCAAGATTAGCTTCCATATACAAGACCTCCCCCATGAGGTTTATATTGGTGGATTGTCTTATCATGTCCGACAATATCGACCCCTTCCTCGTTAATGTCAGAAATGTTGGTGTATTGACCAACCAGCCCCAACATTGTCGCTCCACAGCCCGCTGTCCTCTATGTGCCCAACCTGGTCATGACCGTTCAAATTACCCTGCTCAGTCACGTACATGTCCCAATTGTGGCGACTCCCGTAATATATTCTATAGGAGCTGCCCTGCTTATAAATTTGAATGTGAGGTAGCAGTCCTCACATTTAAAATAGGCTTCAGTCTACGTGAGGCCAGACAGGAAACACGACGACGAGGTTTTTCTCTCTCAACTTACTCCGAAACAATCCTTCGCTCTGCTCCTTAACCATCTCCCCAGGTATCTCTCCCCTATATCCTAAACCTACGTCCTATGTCTACTCACCCTATCCACCAGTCAAATCCGCTTTCCATTCTAAATCCAGATACTCTAATCTCTACCACTTCCCCGATACCTACCCCTCCTCCTCACTTTATTTGTCCTACTAGGCAACCTAAATGTTCTACTCCACGCTCTCCTACTGCATTCTCTCCGACGCCTTCCTCTTCGTCTGTTCCTCAGATATCTATCTCTTCTCTTCATGGGAGAACCTTTATTTCTCAGTCCTCCCAACACCCCTCCAGAAACCCTTGAAGACATCCAAAACTTCCTAAAGATGACCCAAGGGAACACTCTGCTCCCTCACCCCCCCCCCCCAATCCCTTTGTTCCTACTCCTACATTTGAAGTATTTGCAGATATCCATCCTCCTCAAATTTCCTCCACCCCCCTTCCTCCTACGACCTCCCCACATACCCCACCCTCTCTACTGCTTCCATTTGATCACTCACACGAATCCCCTCTATCACAACAGTGTCCCTTTCCAGACCCCACCCCTCCAGACATTCTTCCTGATACTTCACCGACTTCCCCAGTCCCCCTGTCTCATCCCCCAAATATTCTCCTCCTACTTCTCCAACAGCCACCTTTGTTTTCCTTGAACAATGTCCCTATTCCTTCCCCAGTCATAAATACACTGCATTTCACTTAGTAACTCCTACTACCCGTCCCAAAATACCTCATCCTCTCAACCACCCAAACCAAAACCCCATTCTTTTCCACATACCTCATCCTCATCAACCACCCATACCACCCAAACCTAAACCTCCCCTAAAACCCCATCCTTCCCCACCATCCCTCCCACTCCCTCCTGGATGCACACGTGAATCTCTTTTATCACAATACCCTTCCCCAGACCCCACCTTCCCTATTGAACCCCCGGACACCACTCCTTCACCTACTCCTGATCTTTTATCTCAACCCTCTAAGACAATCATACCTACCGTTATCACCTATTATCCCTATTCCTTCCCCAATCACAGATACAATGCAATTCACTTAATCACTCTACCTCCTTAACCTTTTCCATTTACTAATCACTACTCTATTTGCTTCCCTCTTTTCCCTTTTCGTTACCATACTTTCCTATAACACCCTCTAATCTTTGACACCTAACACCTTCTCATCTCCCCGGATTCTTCTCCTACTTTTCAACAGCTATCTCTATTCTTCCTAGAACATTTTCCTATACCTTCCCCAGTGACAGATACACTATTATTCACGCACTACCACCTTAACCCTCCCCTTTATACTAATTTCTGTTCTAGTTCACTCCCCCCCCCCCCATATTTCTCTTTTCACAACCATACTCTCCAATAACGCTCTTAAATCTGTGACGCATTACTTTACCATAGTGCTATATGACCTTTGATGTCTAGCACATTTATTTTCAGACATTAAACATTAAAAATTACATACGCATGGTACTGTTTGAAAAACGCTTATTTTTTCACAGTAGAAAATCTTTGCAGTGTACCAAACATCCAAATTACATGTTTACATATCAGTTGGGATATTTTCTTTCAATAAATTTTCGGCGATACATGTATTGGTAACGATTTAAGTATCGTTTCAACCATACGTAGAATCGATGTATTGGAATCACTTAAGTCAATTTCCAAATATTGATATATCGGTTTCACCTTGGGTAATGTTGTGTATCAATGCTTATCACTGTGTGAATATATATGTGTGTTCATAGCCATTTGATTATCTTGATTTTTTTTTCTCAATATGCTCTTGTATCCCCTACTCCCGTGCGTTTTCTATGGCCATCGCTGGCACGTGCTCCTGCCTGTAAATAAACTTCGAATGTAAACAAACGGGAGAGGAAACCTTTGGTGTAAGATGATACCGGCCACTCTTCTTCATTTCTCCTTTTTCTTCTTCTTCCGTTGGTGAGAGAGATGGACAAGGCTTCCAAGGCGATCCGCAGGTGAGGAAACGTGGACTCTGAAGAGTGATTGAGATTTTAAAGTGGTTTTCGGCGGTTTGTTTTGACAAAATAAGAAAAGGTCATGGGAAGTTTGAGGGAACAAAGGAGATGCAAGTGGTATCTTGTGGTATTTTTTGTTTGGATTTACTTTTTATGTTATTTTTAGTTGACATTTTGTTATATAAGATCAGGTTATTTTATACATGTGAGCAGTTAGATTCTGCAGGTTTACTTTAGTGATAAAGTGATATGAGTCATTCAAAAATTATTTCGTTATTACTAATTTGCATAATGAGTCATTCAAGTAATTATTAACTGTAATTAAGGTGAATAGGTTGAAGATGTGAGGAAGGGAGGGAGAATCTTTGTTACTAAATGTGATGGTCATGTTACTGATTTCTAGAAAATATGTATTAATTATTTGAATTTAGGTTTTCAATGTTGAAGTGTTATGGAATTCCTTGTAATAAGTATGTTATTAAGCATTTTCTATTAGATATGAATTTATGATTAATAAAGTTAGCTGATATTAGAAATGCTGGCAATTTGTTGGCCAAATAAAGTGTTAATAGGTGGGTAAGAGGCCCTTAGTTAGTGACAGGAGCATGGTTGTCTTCTAAACGTTTATCTGATTTTCTGAATATATAATCTATGCTAAGTGTTACCATTCTACTAATAACAAAAAGAGAGAAAAAAAACACTGAAGAAATTAGAGACAACAGGTCCAGCTTTCTAAGTATGTGGACATGAGTCTGCCATTGGATTTTCAACTGACCACACAGAATCCAGGATTTTTTAGTGTAGCTATACACACTGTGTTATTGAAGTAGGTGAAAAACATTAATAAACAGTGTTGTTGATGGTTCATGTTGATATATATGTCACTGAAGCAATTATTTTTCTTCAAATATTTAATGGAGATGTCTTGAAACTGAATATTATGAAGATATTAGAAATTAAAAAAAGAAAGTTAAGGCATTTTCACTGTATGAATTTATTGATAGATATCCAGATATGATATAGCTTGATATTGTCAACTCAGCGGAAATGGAAATATGTAAATACAAACAAACAAGAAAACATTAATAAAGTATATTTGGGACAATGAAATATTTACCTAGACAAAGGAGAATCCAGTAATTTACATATACTACACATAGCCATGTTAAAGAAGACACCAAAACAGAAAACACTAAAAGAGACAGGAATGTTTATTTTATTTTATTTTTTGAGCCAATGGTCAATATAGCCAACCTTCTTGAAAATAAATCAATGCAGACAAAACAAAAAAACAATGGTATCTGCCATTTGTCTCAAGCACAATATGTCACCGGCTCTAACAAAAATCATTCCAGTCTGTAGGCACATGAACAGTATTGATTCCAGACGTGATGTAATTTTGTCATTCTTTTCATTTATTTTTTTATCACCTGTCACGTTTCCAGAAATCAATAAACTGTTCTAAAAAAAGTAAAAACACCCAATTATTTTAATTTCTATTTTGCTACCGCATGTCAGAGGTTTTCAGAAATAAAATCCGTAAACCAATAATAAAATAATTGTGGCCTTAAGAACCGAGGTGTAATTCCTCTTGCCATAGATATTAGACATTATGTCATGTTGCTATAAGAACCCGTGCTCTAATATATAGGTTTTCAGAAATAAAATCCGTAAACCAATAATAAAATAATTGTGGCCTTAAGAACCGAGGTGTAATTCCTCTTGCCATAGATATTAGACATTATGTCATGTTGGCATGGGAGTTGGCAAGCAACAAGCGTAACTGTCACCCCATTGGAATGCAAATCTTCACTTTCCTCGGACTGGATGCCAACTGATCCATTACAGCACCTTCATCTTTTTCATTTACTATTACTGGTTTCATCGTCAGATCATCATTGTTATCATCAATGTCATCTTCACAATCATCTATTGATAAACTCATCATCTCATCACTATTCCATAATCATCAAGTTGTCACTCATCTCATTGTTATCACTGTTGTTATTATAGTTATCTTCATTGTTTGTATGCTTTTCATTGTTATGGCTAGTATAATTTGTATTTCTTCAATATTATTATGGTTTTCCTAACAGTGATAATGGTGATGGAAATATAACTATTTTCTGAGGATTCAAGGAATATCGTAAAGAGATGTATATAATAAATCAAAACTTTGTGAACAGTTTATGTACTGGTTAATAGGTTGAGTTTTCATTACTTTTCAATATTATGATTATCTTTGTTATTTTTGATGTGTATCATTTTTTCTTTTTTTCTTGTTCTTTTTTTTCATTCTGATTATTACTACTATTGTCTTTGATATTATTGATTATGATGGCATTGATTATAATCATTATCCATTTTTTGCAGTCTTTTCTGTTTTATTTAGAAGAGAATAATGCATTGTTGTAAATATTAATTATTATTAATACTACATTAATGAAAGTTCAGTTTTCATGAGCATCATTATTATTGTTGTTTATCACCCTGATTGTCATAATCAATTTTGTTTTTATCAATATCAGTGTCATCATTATCATAATATTTTCATTGTCATTTATAATTATTAATTTCCTCATCTTTATCACCATTATCATCTTCACAACCTTTGTCATTATCATTATTATCATCAATAATATCATCTTTATCATGATTATTGTCATTAACAGTATTATCATTTTTCTATCAGCTCTCTTTATAATTAATTTCCTTCCCTTACTTCATAATGACGATTGTCATCACCATCATCATCATCATTATTTTCAACCTTTTTCTTGAATTGTTTCCATCCTTCCCCACAGGTCGGGCGTGCGCCTGAAGAGCATGTCCGGCGGGCATGGGGCGCTGCAGATGGTGATCTCACAGCTGGGTGAAGTCAGGACTTCACTCAAGGCATTTACCCAGGCACAAGCAACAGCCTCCGAAGACACTATGCGCTGGGCTGCAGCACATGAGAACAGGGCCATTGCAGAAACATTCAGCCACCTTGCCGAACTGTCCCTTGTGTGGACAGATGTGCAGAGGGACTTTGCGGGTATGGCCTTGGGGAGGGAAGTCTATCCATTAATTGATAATTCTTTTCTGTCTTTCTTTCTTTCTCTTTTAATTCCTTTTTGTTTGTTTGGCGAAGTGAGATAGGATCTTGCTTATTAATGATGTTATTCCCCTGCAGTTTGATTATTGAAATTATATTATAATTGTATTGATAAGTATAGTTATGACTTTTACTCTATATTCATTAACTGTTGTAATTTATTTAGTTTTTACAGTCAGCTCTTGTTTTGTGTTTGTTTATGATTTCAAGCTAGTGTTTCCCATATTTTCTCTCCATGATCATATTTTTATCATAAGTTCAGTAATTTGTACATAATTTTTTTACTTCTCACATCCACACCCAGAACGCCTGAAGGAATATCGATCGCAGTACGAGCTCGTCCTAGAAGGGGAGAAGCACGTAACGCTTGCTAGAGAGACCTTGGCCAGCCGGGAACAGCGAGAGGCCAAACTCCGCAAGGAATTGAAGAAGGCAGGCAAGAAGGTAATATTTTTCTATTCTCCTTCCTTTTTTTTTAAGTTTCTCTCTTTTAGATGCATAAATAGGGAGATACTAGATATATAGATTTATGGATTTATTAATAGAGATAAAAATTTAGATATGGATACAGATATATGAATATGTGAATATAAGTACATATATATAAACATATTTCATTATATGAAGATATGTATTTAAATTTAGTTATAAATTTATATATGAATGCATATAAATGTATAGCTGAATATATATATAAATAATCATAGATATATAAATATATATATGTATATATATATTCTTGATGATCCTGTCTCTTGTGGAAATATTCATAATTCTTAAATATTCTGTCCCAGAGTTATACAACCATTTTGTGTTCATCTCAGACTTTTACTTTGAAGAGATCAGAATATGCCATTGACCACCTTTGATGCCTATTATTTTTCTTTGAAACAAACTACCCCCACTTCCAATTTGCAAATGGCCCACTAATGGTTATTAAAGTTTGTGTTGAAGACCCCCTATTTTATCTTAGTGGTTTTGCAGGCTCCGGCAGAGGAAATTCGGCTCTTGAGGGAAAAGTTGAGTCAGGCGGAGAGATCAAGGGATCTTTCGCATCTGGAAGGTAGGTTTTCCTGCGTAATTGGATAAGATTTCGATATTGTGATTTTTTGACGTATGTGTAAGTAGGTGAGTGAATTCTAAATAATTGATTAATTTATTTTCATTCTCTCTCTCTCTCTCTCTTTCTCTCTCTCTCTCTCTCTCTCTCTCTCTCTCTCTCTCTCTCTCTCTCTCTCTCTCTCTCTCTCTCTCTCTCTCTCTCTCTCTCTCTCTCTCTCTCTCTCTCTCCCCCCCCTCCCCCCCTCCCCCCCCTCCCTCCCTCCCTCCCCCCCTCCCTCCCTCCCTCCCTCCCTTCCCTCCCTCCCTCCCTCCCTCCCTCCCTCCCTCTCTCTCTCCCTCTCTCTCCCTCTCTCTCCCTCTCTCTCTCCCTCTCTCTCCCTTCCCCCTAAACGTCCCATAGTGGTGGAGCGTGTAGCAGAGAATGAGGCAGTGAAGATGATCCGAGTGAAGGAGGGTTTGCTCAAGGTAGGAGCAGCATACTGTGAACTCGCACAAAAGTGTCTTATGATCTTCACTGCACATATGAATGTTGCATCAGAGTTGCCAGATGTGCATGACCGAGACCTCCATGACGTTAAATATACAGGTATAATTTGTATTCTGTTCTGTGTTTTTCCCATATTCAACATTTTATACTTTTCTTTTATTCCTAAATTTGTAGTAGTCTTTTTGTGTTATCTTTTTGATTGCTGTGAAGAGAAATGAATTATTGCATTGTTTTAGCTGATATATGTTTATGTATAATATTTGCAGGTGCAGGAGCCGCCAAAAAGTTTGTTCAGCAGGCCAAAGAACAGGTCCGTGCATATAGGCAAGACAGTCTCTCTCACAAACCTCCTTTGCCAGAAGACCCTCCTCCTCCATATACTCCTTCAGTGGAACACTTGAATGACCTTTCTGCCATCACTAATCACAATGGAACAAATGACTCTTCCGGATTCAATTTGAACAACTCGTCACTGAACCCATCTGCCCCAAGAGCCTCCCTCTCGTCTCTGAGCCCACCCAAGCCGGAGCCCCGAAGTGGTGGTCACGGCAAAAGGAACCAACCCACTGGACCAGGTGCCTCCAATGCCAACTTTGATGCTCCACCACAGTATCCTGCTGCAGGCCATGCATACCCTGACCTCCAAGACTTCCCTGCAATCGACATCCCTAACTCTCCCTCCCATATGAATCCTCAGCCTCCCACTGCACCAGTCCATCCCACTTCTCCACACTCCACCAGTGCCCCCAACTTGGCCAATGATACCCCAACACACCACGGAGTAAAGTACCCTCCCCTCAATGTTGGCGACAACTCAAGTTATAATGACACTTGCTACCAACCTGACACATCTTCTTCAAGCCCAAACCTCTCCTCCCATCGACATTCAAGCATGACCAGCCCAGAGAACTCTAATCCTTTCAACCCCTACTATGACTGGCTGCCAGACAGGAATGGAAAGAAGAAAAAGGAAGAGGAGGACACTTCAGGCTTCCAAACATCTACTCCTCGAAACACAAGTAATGCCGAGGAGGGGCAAGAGAACCAGGAGTCCAGACCTAATCCTCCATCAGTTCGACCAAGAACAGGTAGAAACCCTTTCCTCGAAGATTATTCTGATGATGATGATATTAATGACTGTGACCAGGGAGAGGAGAGTTTATCAGGTGCCTTAAGAAAGTCATCTATTAGATAAGTCTGGAGTATTTGTCACTGGAGAAGTAGACATACTATAGGCAACTGAAAGGATAAAGCTGAGTAGATGAATTTGATTAAGAAAAATCTAGTAACGTCAGTATGGATAAGAGTGATAGGGAAGGTAATCCCCTCATAATATGTCTTTATTTGTGATAAACTCATTCATTCAGATAATAGGAGAAATAATTGTATCATCTTTTGGTTATGTATACAGTACATACTTATGTCATTTAAACCATTTTGTAGAAGTCAAAAGAATGATATACACAGTTGTTTTATAGCACAATATGGATATCTATTCAGATCTGAAATTATGATTTCTTATTTGAAAGAGGTCTTGTTATTTATGGTTTCTCTAAAAGTGTCTTACAAATATTGTATCCCTTGATATTTGTGCCTAGTTGCCAGCTATTCCCAAGTATCATAAGTATCACAAAAAGTAAGCATAAGATGGTAATGAACAAATTGATGGTTGACTCTAGAGTAAGGAAAGTAAATGTAGTGGTATGAACACTTAATGTACAATAACAAGGACATTGGGTATTGTCCTGTTTTTTTTCAACAGTGCACAGATCTAGAGCACAATAGGTAATACATTGAGCACAATACTCTGTTATATGTTCCAGCGTTATCTAATCCAAAATATAAAGCTTTTAAAGTTGCTTTTATGGGCATAGATAGACATTCACTGCCATGTAATTTCTATGATAAACAATGCCCAGTGGCTGCTGACTCTGCTACTTAGCTATGCATTGATCTCCACTCTCAGGTACAAGATTTTGTCATCCCTGGCATGTCAGGTCCTGTAGCTGTAGGAATTGACCCCCCCCCCCCCCAGGTGCTACTATGTGTCAAGTCATTAATTTTGTACCTATTGTGAAATGACTTGCTGATCTATGTTTTTATTTTCTTAATGAATGATTCATTTTTTTCTTATTGAGAATGAGAGGACAGACACATTTGAAAATATGATATGCTTCTCTTTTGCTTTAATGTTAGCTTTGCTGTTATCTACAGTTGATCCTTTTATTAGTTTCTTTATTTTTCTATTGTATGAGGCTTAAAAGTGATCACCTTTGTGTAGGCAGGCATGGTGTCTAAATGGTTAAAGTGCTCGCCTCGTGACGCCCTCATGAGGACCCCTAGTTAATGAGAAGACGACTACCCTCAGGCAACCCAGCTGCCAAGAAAGAACAAGGTGGCTACAGTGGGGTGTTGACTGAAGACAGGTGTTATACAAGTTCAATCCTTAGTGAGCAGAGATAGTGGTACATAAATCATTCTGCCTCAAATTTTGAAATTTGTTTCTAGATCTGCATTTTTTCTCTTGTGTTTTTTCCTAACCTTTGTACTTCTGTTGATATAGTTTAGTTCTTGTCTGGACCTGCAGTGTCTGTTGCTATAAGCCCAGTGGTGTGAATTATTGATGATTATCAATTAAGACAAAGGGCTTCATATATATCCTGTTTGCATGTTTTATTTTGTGACCTTTCCTGAAGGGTGAGTGATAGGAATGTTCTTATTTTCAGTGTTTTCTTACAGTTCCCAAACAATGCAATTTTTTTAATGGAAGTAATTGATAATATGGTTTTTGTAATAAGTTATATTTTATTTTATTCAGCATCAGTTTAAAATTCAGTAGCACATACAAAACCGAGATTAAGCAGTTTAACATAAAAGAGGCAAAAGTAAAATGTTTACATTTCTCTGCTCTTTTTTTATGTTGACTTTACATGCATTTATTCATATTACAAATCATTATGTAATCTGTACATGGAAACTGTTATGTTGTTCCCCATATGCCTCTGGCTATGTTCAAGTGCTTTAAAAAAAAAGATAAAAGATATTTTAGTGCTAATAAAACAATTGAGATAATTTTCTCAACATTTCATAGACTTGTGCCAATTGCACTCAGTTAAGACTTAGAGATCTGAGTAGTTTCAGAAGGAGAAATGGGCTGTGAAATTTTCTTGTTCATTGCTTTACTGTCGGGTAATATTTTAGGAGGAGAGAATCAGACAAAATAGATGTAGATACTTCTAACTTGCAGTCTAGATGAAGAAATTGTATGGTGTTTAGTGGAAGTCAGGTTATTATCACTTGTTCTTTCTTTCTTTTTTACTTTTTTTTTCTTTTTTACATCTTACTTTATTCTGATGATCTTTTCCTCTTTTTCTACTTCATTTCTTCATCTTCCTATTGTTTATATCTAACTATATCCTCTGCAATTTATTTTCTCTTTCTCTTTCTATTATACTTCTACTCTAGATTTTTTCACTTTTCTCTTTGTCCTTTTAGCTATTTAACAAGACAAAACTGTGTCTAAATTTATTTGCTTTGATAATGTGAAACTAGTTTGAAGTATATTTTGTCTTTCATTTTATAAAGATTCGAACTGCATGTTCAGACCTATATGCAGTAAGCATTATTAATGATTGTTATTTGTATTCTGCTGGACAGTAACATATAAGTGATCTGAAATTAGCTTTTATTTTAATCGCATTTACATTTAAAAACATATTTGTAGCATTGTAACTGCCCTTAGTTGCCACATGCTTGGAACTTAATGGAATTGTCATATTTTAAGATGTCTTTGTATATCAGAGAGCAAAGAATGTAAATATTAAAAAAGGAAAAAAATCTTTGGCTATGATACTCATAAGACAACATACTACATACAACTAAATATTAAGCTTCATTTCCTATATTATTGCATTATTTCTAATGTATTAGTAATCAAAACAAAATATTAACTATAATTTTTAATTTTAGCTTAAAGCACTAACGAGAAATGTTACTTATTGCTACAATATGAAGTAATATTTTTAGATGTAAGCATTACTCATTTTCTGTTCAAGAACATGTTTGCTCTTTCTCACACACTTTGTGAAACTCATTTTATACAAAGACCTTTTGTGTTCATTATAATACTAACTAAGCTAGGTACAGAAAATTACCATAGCACACTACTGATTAATCAAACTCCGATTTTTCCTTTGATCTGTTCTTCAAAGGTATAAGTGATGTCTTCCTCTGATTCATGTTCCTCTTCAGTGTCTTGTTATTGAGGATTATTGTATTGATGCCCCACGTTTTGCATGTTTCTTGATTTGTTTTGGTTGCATGTGTTTGTGATGTGCAAGAGAGTAATTCCAGACTGGCACATTTTGGCATAAACCTGATTGATTATTTTGTGAATTTTTAAAGTAATTATTAGTGATGAGAGGAATATAACTTTTTCTTTTCTTTTCAGCAAGGATTTATTTTCATTATGATTTTGAAGTAAAATCATTTCCATTTCTGTAGGTGATTTTCCTGGATACAAATTTATAATGTAATATTTATACACATAATTGAAAGGAAAAAAATCAATAGTTTAAGAAGTTTGAGTAATATACTAAATTAGGTAGATGTGTTACTTATTTGTAAGTAATATAAATATGTATATAATAATCATGTTAGCATATCATTTTGATGCAAAAATAATGTTTAGAATTGTTATCACATTAATTAACTGATGTAAGCATTGCATCTAATAATACAGTGTTATTTTTGAAGGTTACATTTCAGAAATCAGTGCTGTATATACCTTTTTTTATGCAACCATACATTTTTTTTTTTTTTTTATCGTCCTAGACATATCAGTCAGAAATTATAACTAATATAAAGTAGGATTTTGACAATTCTTAAAAACAAAATCAGCTACATCCAGGGCAAGAGACATCATTTGTAAGAAAATGACAATCTTTAGGAGCTTGTGCCAAAAAGTAACAGTATTCAAGGATGTCAGTATATTCAGGTTTGCTTGAGAAGTGAATAAAAATGTTCAAGAATGTTTATAAATGTTTTGAGGAATGTTTTTTACTCTTACTATACATAAATGAATGATTCTTTGGTATGACAAAGAGGCCTAAATATTATTAGGTATTTACTTGGAACAATAATAATGTAACATGACTGGGTATGTGTTATTTCATATAATTATGTCTTTCATAGTCTTCACTTTTGTGTACAGTCTGTGAAGTATTATATGTGCAGTCATGTGCAAGTGATGTTGAAATTTGAGTAGCAAATGCTCACACAAATGTGATAAAATAAAAATCAGGTCACAGTAAGAGCAAAAAATTAGAAGAGTAAATCTTCAGACTGTGTCTCTTACTTTTTATATTCTTACGTAGCAGGTACAACAGCTCATAATGATGCCTTGAGTGCTCTGAGGCTGCTGTTGTGAAATTAAATATTTGCATATGATTTCAGAGAAAAGAGATAACTGTATAAATTGTCTTTAGATTATTTCCATGTAGCCTCTAAGAATCATTACAATTTTTATTCATGTATAGTATACACATGTAAAATACCTGAATGCTTAATTACAGGCCAAGAGAAAAGAAAGAATGAATCTTCTTAACCTTTATTCTGAATGGGTTTTCTATACATTAAAAGGAATATATCCATATTTTTTTTTGCAATCAGAATAATTTTTCCCTTTAAAAATCTTGAAACCGCTGTATATAAAAATTAAATTAATCCAATTACATTGGGTCCCAGACCCTTGGTAAATGGATAGAGATATATAGCCAGAAGACATAAAAAAGGGGTTTCCTTTACCTTGGGTTACAAAAGTAGCATAAACCTTTCTGTCAACAATACTTCACTTCTGTTATCTAAAATAGAGATGTTTACAAAATAAAATTATGTCCCTGACAGCAGATAATATAATCTCAAACACATACCATACATATGAGATGAAATTGTAGGTGTCAATATCTCTTGATACCACCAGTCTAGATGGTAAAAAAAAAAAAAAAAAAAAAAAAAAAAAAAAAAAAAAAAAAAAAAAAAAAAAAAAAAGGAGCAATATGGCCTCAAAACCATACACAATGGTAATGTCAAAGAGAGGGATTCAAAAATGCACATTAAAAACTGCAGGGCATTTCTCATTCATAAGAAGTATAATAACAAGTAATGGAAATTAGACTATGATATAACAAGAATAGCATTAGCCAAAATTGACATTCAAGTCATATCACATGATCTAATAGCCTTGCAACAAGGCTACAACCTAAACTAAGGTAAGGTAAGATAAGCTAGGCAAGGCTAAGTAAATAGATAAATAATAAAATAAATATAATAATACTAACAATAACAATAATAATAGGTAAGAAAAAAAAAAAAAAAAAGGAACTGGTAATCAGTTGAAGAATTTGGGATATACAGACATGAAAAAAGGCATTTTGGGCTAGCAGTCCAGAAAGAATTATTTCAAATTATGACAGCCATTCAGCATCAGACATAGCTCCTTTAACCCCAAGCCGCTGGGAATAGCATGTACATATATGCCATTCCCCATTGAATTTAGTCATTGTTTTCACATACAGATGGCTCCAGAAGTACTAAGTCACCAATGAGTCAATTAGGCGAACTACCTGTCTCACCTGTTTACTCTTTTCCTCAATTTACGATAATGTTTTCTAATATTATTACCGCTGTTAGTAAAGTTACTAACAATATAGTAATTATAATGCTTATAACAAAAATAACAATGTCAATATTAATAGTATTAGTGAAAAAAAAAAATGTTCCCCTGCTTTTTCAAGGAAAAGTCAGGTCGCAAGATCTACTAATTGACTCCTATGTGGCTAAGCATTGGCAGAGCCATCCATGAGCAGAAACATTTAACCAAGCATTGCCAAAGCAAATGCACTTTTTTCCCGTTGATATTGGGTTAAGACTAGTACTACATGCAAAGCTGGGGGATATCTGCACATTCACTTAAGCCACCAAGATTTTTTTACTTCTTTTTAATCCTGATACTAATATTTATTCACAACTTTACAAAATTACAATCAGTACTACCTGGATAATTTAACATTATTTTCAGTGCATTTAACTGCACTAGTCACCTGCTTAAATAATCTGGCCTCTGTCACCCTATACTGAATTGAACTGATGTAATACTTTCTCGCTCTGAGAATATTAGTACTCCTAAAACATAGCAAGTCATAAAACAAGTATTGGTTACTAAATGTGTTGAAAATTAAGATTTTATGCAATCTGATAACTATCATAATGATCTTTATAAATGCAAATTTTAAAATAAATTAAATTACAACAAATGTTCTTCAGGTAGATCTTGCTCACAGGATATCTATATACATGAATACATATATGGCAACCTGACGTCAAACAATACATAGCCCTCGACCTATAGGTTAAAGGTCACCATTTCCCCATGTGCTATGAATAGTTGGGGTCCTTATTATTCGTGGCATCAGAAGGGCTTTAACTCCTGAACACTGGAACTTCAGCCCACTGAACCACTGCTTTGTTAGATCACTAGCTCATAAGAGGATTTCAAAGAACTTAGCAAATCTACTGAACATTTCACTCTAAAATTGTACAGATCACTGACCAAAGAAACAAGATTCCCAGTCATAGATTTATGAGTAACCAGTAATTATCATTCATTTATTGAAAAATTTCTGATGCATCAACATCTAAGGTCATTAGCAGCTTATACAAAATATAGCAATAGGGTGAGGCTTAGGCCCCTAGGTATGGAAACATCAAACAGATTCATGACAAAGTATTATAGCAAAAAGGCTAAAAATGAGTTAACAATTAGGAAAAACTATGTTAGATGTCAAAGGTTGTAGAGTACTGTAGGTTAGTATGGTAGTGAAAAGGGTAAAGAGGGAAGAGCAAACAGTATGAAGGTTGTTGAAGACTGGAACAAATCTAGCTTTCATCCTTTCAGTACAGCTCTCACACTTAAGGATGTGGACAGAAGGGGATGAGAAAGATAAGGGAAAAGAAAGGGAGAAAAGAAAAGACCATGCAAAATTTGTTGAGGTGAGAGCTGAGGTCCAAGGTAGGGATGATCCCCTGCATTGGGCTAGAGTCCCCGTCTCCTAAGTAACCAGTAAGATTGTTTGGCTTGAGTGAAACAATTTGACACCAGCTACTCTCAAATAGGATATATTGATTTAATAATACCACAAAGTGCAGTTCAGGACCTAATGCTAGTCAGTTTATCTCCTTTTTTCAGTGGAGCTCAGGAAATTCTGAGGAATTGTACAATTTGGCCGAGTCAAAGTCTGGAGACCAGTCAAGAGGAACCCAACCATCTGTCAAGCTAGGAATGTTAATTGAACTTCCCACAGAACTAAGTTTTGTAAATCTGTTCCTTTTCTTCCCAAGAGTATTGCCAGAATCTGATGACCTGGTTGAATCTAAGCTAGAACTGGACAAAGAGGAATCAACCTTTTTAGCTTCAAGGCAGTGGTTTGCTTTACTGGCCAGACTACCGACAGAATGTGATTTCATGTTTCCCATCACAGCATTTCTGTTCTCATTTGTCAAGCCATTTTTATGAGACTGAGTTTCCTTTATTTTTTGATGATCATTTACTATACTTCTTGTTGGTATGTTGCTCTTCAGTCCTAGTGTATGATCACTATATTGGTCTCCAATCAACTGAAAATGAATAGAATAAACATAAAATTCAATATTTTGAACTGAATCTGATAAGTTTATAAAAAAGAATTGTCATCGGCCAGAAGCAGTGACACTTTAATTTTGCCATTATTAATGCATTTAATTGGTAAATCGTAACGCTTGATTAGTTATGATGATATAAAATTCTAAGGGAATAAAACCACAAAATAGAGTTTGGTGGTAGTGAGGCTGTAGTTGTAGGTTGTGTTTATGTTAGAGGTGAAATACTTGTGGACGATCTTGGTGGTTACTTTAACTCGAGATAAGGGCCAAAATACCAAGTCGCCTTCTCAAAGTGCCACCTCAGCATCCATACAACCGAACAACCAGGCCTCTGTCTAGATGACCTGGCACCCCTAGGTCTAAAATTCCTGAAGTCAGTTCAGGTTGAAACATCATTGAGTGAAGGTGAATCGGTGTTGACTCCTGGAACTCATTTGAAGAATACGGCGTGATTAGCCGTGAAAACTAGCTTAACTAACTAGAAATTAATTCTAGTATTAGGGTGAAGTTAGCTGTAGATTCCAGTTCGTCTTTTCCCCGAAGTTAGCGGAAGGCGGGCCTAGGAACTATGGTCAAATTGTAAGTATTATTACTTAATAAATGTATAAGTTCTTTTCACACAGTGTTTAATATTATCCCATTTTGTCATTCCTATAATAGGACACTGAACAAAGGAGAGAACCACACCACAGAGATACTGGTTGGGTTGAACACAGTGGTACACGAAACAAAAAGAAACAACACTTATACTAATTAAATCACTTGGAGTACATCGACACGAGAAATACAATATCTATTAAATAAGAACCTATGTCTTGAAGAATAATGATATATATGAGTGAAAATATCAATGATATCGAGATATATGTGAAATAGAGTAATTTAATTCATTTTAAGGTTTCCAGAAATAGTGAATGATGAATCAGAATGATGCCATACTGATCTGAAGTTTTAATGAACAAAAATATTATTGAAACTATCTGAGATAACCTTTGATTAACTTACTAGAGTAAAGTAATAACGAAGATTTATGTTGGGGTAACAATGACCCACATAACATATGGTGGCAGCGAGAAGGATTAATAATAGTATTGTATTCTATGTACTTTAAATAAATTGTCAGTATCGCAGCATTCTGGAAGTGTACGGCAACTATTGCGGGCACCGAGGAAAGTAGAGACTGTTAGACTCACTGACGTACTGGCATGCCAATGAGAGTGTGAGGGACTGCAAAACTGAGTTTTGATTGGCTGAGAGAACAGAGTGTCTGTAACGCTTAAGTTTTAGAGCACGAGCCGCTATCCAATCAGCGACGAGGAATTGGACGAGCATATGACGTCAGACTACGTAAGGTTGACGTAAGACTCGTAGGACCAATCAGACGACGGTAGACTCATGACTGTGACGTCACTGAGCCACTCGCTCGTGATACCGAGAGCGGTAGTCTGAGAGCTGACGCGAGACAGAGAACATCTCTGAAAGTCAATTATTGCATGGCTAAGTCTCCACTATTCCTTAATAGTAACTAGATGAATAAAGTTAATTAAGGGGTAAATTTCATGCATGCTTATTGATTACACAGTTCAATATAAAAGGATAATTAGAAATTGATTTGTTTGAGTAATATTTTTGGGTTAGTTATCCCTAAAAGTTTTCTTTCACCAATAGAAATTCATAGAAGACGGAGTGGAGGGCATACTAACTTAACACACTACAATTATACTAAGACGGCTAATACAAATATATAACCTTTTATTATATGAATGGAGGTTTGTCCATGGGTTATGAGTGTTTTTATTTTTTCTACTGTCTAGTTTGTTTTGTGTTTTTGATGGTTAACTAATTACGCTTGTTTTCTTGTGTTTACTTGCGTTCTTATTGGTTTTCGCACTGAAGTGACTACAATTAACGATGGACTCATAAAGATTTTGTAATATTGTTGATGCGGGTGACAGTTCATGTCTGAGACAAGATCAAAATCGTTAAATTCTTTAGAAAACAATCCTATAGAGGAGCTGTACGAAGAAGAATACATTTTCACTCTTAGAGAAGCTGAACTACTGCTCGACGTAGCAGAATCACCGGGGGAGGAAGATAACCCTTGTAATTTACACCCGGTTTCGTTAGGAAAACGCAAAATGGACGCGCGATTTGAGCTTTTAGAGGAACAAATGCGCGGCTTAGCTGCACAATTGCAGCAAGTGGTGGAGATGCAATCTCGCAGTCATCGAGCTGCAACAGAAGACACTTCCGAGGCTCAATCAGCTGAAACCACGGCTAATGAAGCACCGAG